GGGAGGCTCCCGGGTTCGGCGTAACGCGGCGGCCGGAAGGGGAAGTCTTTGGGGGTGCGGCTGGGGCTGCCTGCGGCTTCCCAGTCCTGAGACGCACGCCTGAACCCTCTGACGCTGCCTGCGCCTGCCTGCGCCGAGCCCGCCCCGCCCCGTGTGAGGTGCGCACAAGCAGCAGCCCGCCGACAGCTTCAGGCCGGACATGAAGATGCGCACGCGAAGGCGGTAAGCATGAGTAGCTCCAGGAGGGGTGGCCCCACCGCATCGCCAAAGCAAATCAAGAAGTAATCACTATATTATTATCGATTAAAAATAGAATCAAAAACGAGAAACTAGAATAAAAATGCAATCTTTGAGTGTTTCTTTTTTAAAGATTTGCCGGGATTTGCTCTGCCAATCTTGAAATGATGGTAATTTGTGTGTTGATTATTGAAAGATGTGTGACAGTTTATTAAATTTCCCCCCAGACAGTGTAATAGCATAGGTCCAGGGTGGGTGATCTGCTCCGTCCTCTTCTTCTGGTTAAACTGTAACGGATTCAGGTATGCGGACGGGTTGCATACTCGTACGGGGCATTGGTGCACACTAAATCCTTATGCATTCTGTTGTGCATGAGACTTGCAGGATTTCATGCAGCCACAGCTATGCACAGTTTTTCATGCATAAGTATGCAAAACTAACGCCACTATGCACAAATTTGTGCATAGTAATGCTGAAGTTCATTTTGAATTAGTATTGAAAAGAAATCCATTGGATTGACACCTCCCCGCCCCCGCGCACCCTCTGTGTAATTACACGCAATCGACGCGACGCGTGCCGAGGTCGTTAAAACTTTCTGCAGTCCGTTCAACTGCATAGTTACGTCATTGATGAAGTTCGGGCGTACTCTTTTATCTGATTGAGTCCTAACGGCCGCGGTCCTGTAACAAGGCGCTGGGGGGCCGAGCTGGGGCGCGGCGCGGGCGCGGCAGGGCGGGTCGGAGGCCGCCTGCGAACCGCGTGGTAGGCCGCCCGCTGGGCGGCAGTGCCGCGCGGGACAGTATCCCGCAGAGAGGAGGGGGGTCCGCCTGCCTGGCGGAGGAAGGGCGGTTCGGAAATTAGTGCGTAAATGGCAGACGGGGTTTTCGGGATGGTTTGATCGCAGTCATAGACTTGCATAAATGTGCAGGTGTGTATGATGCGAAGAATGGGGTTCCATTATTCCCATTTGTACTTACACAAAAAGTCGATAAGAGTCGCGCTATGCACATGATGGAACCATTACCCATACGTTTTGCTTCTGCAGGTCTATGAACTATCAATCTAAAAAAAAATTCGAGTAGAAGCAAATAAAGAGCAGGGTGGGGTGGGGGTGGCCAACTACCGCTGACTACGATATTTGCCAAGTTTACCGGGAGTTTACCGGGAGTTACGAGTTGCATAAATTTTTCTTTCCACACGCAAACAAGCCCCCCCCCCCCCCCCCCCCCCCCCCCCCCCCCCCCCCCCCCCCCCCCACCACCCCCCCCGCGGACACCCTTGCGACCCAGAGTCCCCTCCGGCCCCCGCCTCTCCACTACTCCGTCAGCCTTACGGAGTCCACGGCGGAGGCGCTCCGCTCCCCGGGCCCCTTTGCTGTCGCTACTGCCGCCGGTCGTTGCATCGGATTCTTATGATTTGGTATGAAGCTCGTCGACTGGGTGCCTTTACGGTTCGCGGTTCGCGTGTGGCGCTGAGGGCTAGGGGACCCCCCCCCC